CGGTCCATGTACGTGTTGCCCACAGGAAAGCATTCACAAAATGCCTCCCAGCCATTTCTCAATAGATATTTTATGTTCCTATACTAAAACATGTGTAATTATCTGTAGCTATTTCATCACAAAGTAACAATCATTTTAAATATTTTGAAGTGCATTCATGTTATTATGTTAGCATTGGGACAGAATCAAGGTTTTACCTGGAGACTGAGATCAGTTTTATAGCTCATGGTGTAGAAATACAGTAGTGTCAAACTAGATATGAAATATACCTAGGGATTTCCTTGCACTTCCTCTGTTTTTTAAACAGACCTACTATTACTGTCCGTTCAGACAACAGGATATCACTTAGTCTTTGATTAAACAAATTATCAATTAAAATGGAAAACTGCCACTGATCCTACAATATCTGAATAAAGCCATTTCAATGTTGCAAATTTGCTAATTTTGGAGCAGACAACTACCAAAAAAACATTTTAAATTCTAACCAGTGGCCTTGAGCTTCAGGACTTAAGAAATTTGAGCTGCCATGCTCTTCCTGGTCTCAACGGTGTCCACGGAAAAGAATTTGGATGATGTAAAAATGAATTTAAAACTTGAGTAGAGCCAAAAAGGAACAAAAATGCTTTCTGACTCAACGGAACTTGGTAGTTTGTGATGGGCTCCTCTTCCCACTGTTCCCCCTTTCTGGCAATTGCCCATCGATTATTGCAGGAGGGCAGCACATCCACATGTTCTTTATCTTTGAAAGGAGGATTGAAGTCACAGCAGAAAAATTTATGCCACAGTCCAAGTAAACCCACAGCAAAATTATAACATAGCAACGTGTCGAAACTGAGAAGTCACTGCCATTACTTCTAACATCCTTTAAGATTTTGAGCACTACGCAACTTTTGAAAAGAAACACATTTGCAACGTCACCAACAACACTCATGTAAGCAAAAAATTATATCATGCCAATGAAGGAAATATGGAACTATCAATATAGGATAATATTTTTCATAGCTATTTCTTTGGCTTAAAACGATGTGAAAAATATGGAATCTCTTCAATACAATTAATTATGTATAAAGTACTTCTGAAATACTTGGTGTCTAATTTAAGAGCTTTGGATGAATTCAATGGATGAAACAAACAACACAGCAATAATCAACTGATGTAGACAGAGACTTGCATCTAGCTTATGTAGGAGTTTGAGGCAATGAATTGGAGAGAGATTATTTGGGTGACTCGAGTGGGTGCTTGAAATGCATGGTGAATCTTTCCAGGTGTTCAAAATTTATAATTCGCTTTCTAATTGCAAGCAAAAAAACTGACAAGTCAAATTCAAGTCAGTCAAATTAAACTGCACTGAACCATATCAACTAAAATGAATTACATTAAATTGTTAAATCAAAAACTCGTCAACTTCTATCTGAATACTATCGATCATTCAAATGAGAAGATCGTATAAATATGAGAGATAGTATCCAAACGGTTCAATATAGTTGATATGGAGTGTTATAGTTTTGCTCTTTATGCCTATTACAATAGCATTAAGAATGGCATCCCAGAATGCCCCATAATATGGAGTATATAGAATACATGTGCCATACTAATTAAAACAGATGTCTTCTTGCATGACAAACAATGAAAACATTAAACATAGCGTAATGTGGATCAAGCCAATCTAACGTTAGACTTGACTCTAATCAGATGTCTTTCCTAGTTTTTCATCTAAACAAACTGACCAGTATCTCACCTACTTATCTAAAATACAGATACCCCAAGTGAACACCATCCCATCAAAGTGCACTCAGATTTTCAAAGTTAACTAAGAAATAATTGACAGATTCAAGAATCTCTATTAACCTTCATTCATATACACATTTCCTGAGAGTTTTCCAACTCAACTTTACTCACTTCAATTGAGTTGATTACATACTTTGTAATAATCTATGTGGCCTATAGAAAGATGAATGCTGTAACAAACAATAATATTTAATTTCAAAAGTTCAAAAAACATACAGAAGTTAATCTCATTTGTTTGTCAGCCGCACAATCATATGCGTGAACTAACATTGATAATATCAAAATTTCAAGTGCAATGTTGTTTTTAACCCACCCGTTATAAACTTGTATTTTAAAAATGTTACAGAATCATAATTCTGGGAGTGACAGTAAATTAAAATCCATGAAATGAAATTGGACGGTGAATAGGTTTTTTTTTCTATATTTCATAATCCAACCATCATTTTATTGAGAAACCCACAAGTGGAGACAAGTAATTGGTCAATATCTGTTCCATATTTACCCAGTCAAACCAATGATGGCAGAACATTAATTGGGCATTATACAACTTTGAAAGCTCTTAAAGTTTATAGGCTACATTGCTGACGGAGAAAATATCCAAACTGATATTCAATTTGATTACGAATTATGTAACATCTTCCTACCATAGCAGAAGATATGTACACTCTTTGTATTCATCAGACACTGACTTCTCCAAGACGAAATATGTGCAATGCAAATTACATCATTGAAAATACAGTTTGTGGAGGAACAAAAGCATTTACAGCAAATTTACAAACCAGTAACAAAAGGTGCCAAACTTATGACTCCTTCTTCTATTGTTTTAGTATCATCTTTTAAGATAAATAAGACAGGACCTCTGTTATAATGGCAAGGAATTACATGTAGATGTTTAAATTCTTCGTATATTATAAAACCAAGGCATAATTTCAGAACAATTAGGATAATTTGCTCACTTCCAATCAGAAGGGAGCCTCAACCATTGGAATCACTGTGTAAAAATTTGGTACAAGATGTTAGCCTCAGAAATGCATATTATAATTTAAAATACGTGCCTCCCACAAGGGAGCTCCCATTGAGAACACAAGTTAAGAAAATGTACATCAATAACATGCAAGTAAATATTAACAGCTAACATTTTATTTTGCTTTTAATTAGTTAATAGGTGATAAACATATTAGGCATGAAAAACTCCATGGGACAAGAACTGTAAGCCATTCTGTCACTTCTCAATAGTTAAATATTATTTGCCAGTGATCTGAGTAATTAGGTTGGTACATTCAGAAAAGAATCATAATCTGCAGCTCCACAACATTTATGATGAATATGCATATCTGGGCAACTCTTGCAAGAGTTCTTGCTAAAAATCATGAATGCAGATATGTTAACACAACTTAAAACAATTCCATGAGACAAAACATTTTAGTGACCTTTCACATCAACTTTCATTTAACTAATTTCCCCATAGGAAAGTGAATGATAATCTATTTCACATCAGAAGTCATTGCTGGCTAAAAGTATTTCAAATGCAGAAGCTGTCTATTTTGCCAATATATGCTGCAACTGTACATCAGAGGGTAACTTTATGAATGTGCTCTCAGTTTACCTTGGCCTTCTATTCATTCTTGCAGACATTTTGTGATTATCTATTGATCAATGGGGGTGCAATCTTTAGAATGCCTGAACAAAGAATTTGATACGGAAGCGAGAACTTTACATGTTATGTTTGGCATTGAATATCCCAGGGATAGGGCAAAATATACTTGTACACACTTATCCCTTCTTTTCTGCAGTTACTGAATCATGGAAAAGGACATATTGCTTTATTGACAGAATGTCACCCCTTATATGATCCCTGATGAGACCTGAATTTGCGTTATTGTCTACCTAAGGAATTTTCATTCAAAGGAAACAAAACTTGAGTTTCCAGGCATTTAAGAGGAGAATAAAGTCACAAGATTTCAGAGTTTTGAACAAACAAAACAATGTGACTATATAAAGTCAGAACTGCAATAATCCACAATGTATATGTACAAACATATCTCCTAATCCAGAATTAGGAAGATAAATATGGGTAACACAAAATGTTGTGGCCAAACAGTCCACACACAATGTCAAAAAGCAATTAAAAATATATGTCAGGTCACCATGGGTCACCTGCTTGTATTAGCTTTTTCTTTACAAGGAATTACAGTTGTTCACTGTTGAAGCCTACTTTCTGGACTCTTTCAAAAGCATATCTCTAGGCAGTTCAATCTGTTCCCCAAAACAATGTTCCATTGGATTTTTGTAACTACACTTCAGCACCTACTCATGGAAACAATTGAGCCGTTTCACAGACAATTATTTTCACGTAAGCTAACACTACATTGGGGTTTTCTCAAGTTGTCAATATGCCCAAGTTGTACAAAGAAAACACTACTTCTTTTAGCCCCATCTTAGCAACCAGGTGGCTCCTAGAACTTCAAGTCAGCCCTAGGCTCCCAGAAGCAAATACTGGCGGTATGGAAACACCATCTTTGACTGCTCCAATCTGCCCAACATAGGGTCAATGATCTTTGTCTGCCCTCCCAGCTTCTGAGGCTCTCCACCTAACTTATTAACCCATCAGAGGACACTCCTTTTTTGGCCATCCCAGGTCTCATGCTTAGGGTTTTGAGCCAGTTCCAATCCCATGGCCTTAATTTGTGTGTTCCACGAGCCCAGAGTCCTGTCTGCAGCTACATAAAAAAAACAAAAAATGTAATGATGGACCAAACATGCGCACCTCATTCCACTCCCTCGATGGACCAAAACACCTGGGCATACTGGGAATTGTAGAACTAAGCTTCTGCCTAAAAAACAAACTCAGCTGGCATCTCTTAACAACATGTACAATTTCCCTAACTAGTTTTCCCAAACAAGTGAATACAGATCTTTAATCCATGTCTAAAAACATTGCTGCTTGTAAACAACAAAAAAGACAAAAATAGCTGGGATTCCATTAAGCCATTTATACTTCAAAATCATTTAATTTCTCTGCAATCTATACATAAACAAATTGCAATATACTGTGTCTGCTTGGAAATTCAAAAGCTTAATTTTAATACGATGACTGGCTCTATTACAAGGAAATTAGAGTATTGATTGTTGCATATTAGAATTAGATTTTGAAAGCATTTTCATTACAGCTGCAAATTATAAAAATGAGAAACTGAAAACTACTCATTTACCTGAACCCCGTTTGGATACAATCTTCAGGCTTTGAATTGTGGATGTATACAAGAGAATCATTAAATGAACAACAACTTTCATTTTCCAGCTTGAAAGGCAGCCTGAAAAGTAAAACATATTGCCTGTTAATAATATGCCAAAACGCACAATTTAAATCAGCTCTCTGATATGCCTAAAGACTAGCTTGCAAAATATTTCTGCTGTGAACTCATAAATCTTATAAATGCCCTCAATGAATCTTATCACAGTGAACCAATTAATACAGATTACTGTCTAGACTTCATTGCAATTATGTACCAGAGCTATCCAATTAGACCACTCTTTTGCTCTTTCCTCATAGCCCGGCAAATATTTCCTTTTCCAATATATATCCACTTGTCTTTTGAAAGTTACTGCTAAGTCTGGTATCATCATTCAGATTAGGCACTAAATTGAAAAAGAAAATCAAACAACTGCTTTGGATTTTCAGCTCCAAAGGGAAGTCAGTGATCCAAAAGCCAATGTAAATGTGTCTCAACAGAGTTACAGCTCACCATCTAGAGGCTTCACTACCCTCACATATTTAATTGGAGGGACCTATAGGTCCTTCTTGGTCTGGTGTGATAGAAGAAAATCACTTGCTGGTCTAATTAGAATTGGTTGCTGTTGATCAAGAAATTATTTACTATGTGCAAGCAGGTTAAATTGATATGATGGACATAGTTATTAAGATGAAGGAGAAGGACCTGAATATTAATGATTTCTGAAGATCCTAAACTGTTCCTTATGACATAATCATGCATGATTCTTTTGACATGCTTCAGTATTAACACTTTCAGATCCACACACAACAATTCCTTTGTCCAACTCGAGTTCACCAATGATGCACAACGGGTGGGAAACTATCAAAAGGTCAGGGATTGATATCATTCTCTTATTCCACAAGATTATACTGGAAAAAAGCAAAGGTTTACAGGTGATTGTACAAACTCATTTAGTTTCATCCATTAATGATTGCTTCAGAAGGTTTTAAGTGCTTCACGTTGCTAAACAAATTCTTTACATGAATTGAGTACCATTTACTCTCTTTATAAGGATTAAAGAGTATCTCGCTCACAGCAGCTGACATAATCATCAAGAAGGAAAAAATAATATATGCAAAGACCAAAACCTTTTCCTCCCCCTATAATGTTGATAATGGATAGAAATGGGAAAAGAACTGTTTTAAAAACCACGAATTGAACAATTGCTACACGTTTTAAAAGCAAGTAACCCTACGCTGTTGTTGACACCATTGTTTGTTTAAGCAGAAATGAATGCTTATTATTTTACAGATGAGCTGAAGCCAAGGGGGATGTATGAATGAAGCTTTGCCTGGTACCAAGTAGCTGATTGGTCACTAGTCTCCAGACCTGTCATTGAGATTTTGTTAACAAAGGCCTTCTGTCTATCAACAACTGTGTGGTTGGCTCCCAGATAGCTGAACAGAAAGGCAGGGGCAATGAATTTTTGGGAGAAACTATTGAACCTCTTGATGACAAGGAGCTATTTTGCTCTGCTGACTTAAAAAAAAGCATCTCAAGCTTAAAGACATCCAGTTTATTTCTCCACTGCAATAGATATTAGCTGAGACTTTTAATGGACAAGCTAAAAACCTTTAAGTGGGAACTAGTCATCCGATGTCTCCTGCATACAGGTGCTGTGGGTTGATTCCCAATTCCATTTCGGGGGGAATTCCAGGATTTTGATCCAGTGACAGTGAAGGAATTACAATATATTTTCAAGTAAGGGTGGTGAGTGGCTTGGAGAGGAACCTGCAGGTGGTGTTGTTCCCAAGTATCTGCTGCCCTTACCATTCTAGAAACAAGTGGTTGTGGGTTTGGAAGGAGCTATCTTTGGTGAATTTCTGCAGTGCATCTTGTAGATAGTACACACTGCTACAATTGAGCATCAGTAGTAGATGGAGTGGATGTTTGAAGATATAGTGCTAAACAAGCGGGCTGCTTTATCTTGGATGGTGCCAAGCTTCTTGAGTGTTGTTAGAGCTGCACCCATTCAGATGAAGGGAATATTCCATCACACTCCTGACTTGTGCCTTGTAGATAACGGATGGGCTTTGGGGAGTAAGGTGGTAAGTTACTCACTGCAGTATTCCTAGCCTTTGACCTGCTCTTGTCGCCGCTGTGTTTATGTGGTAAGTCTGGTTGAGTTTCTGGTCAATGATAACCCCCAAGATATTGGTAAATGGGGAAATCAGTGATGGTAAACACCATTGAATGCCAAGGGGTGGTGGTCATAGCCTACTATTTGATTGACATGAATGTTACTTGACACTTGTCAGCCCAAGCCTAGATATTGTCCAGATTTCATTGCATTTGAACATGGTCCGCTCCAGTAACTGAGGAGTTGCAAATGGTACTGAACACTGGGGATGTTTGCCAATGATTTCAGACGTCTGACCTTATGACAGAGGGAAGGTCATTGATGAAGCAGCTGAAGATCGTTAGGCCTACGACACTACTCTGAGGAACTCCTGCAGAGATGTCGTGGAGCTGAGATAACCAAACCCTAACAATGACACATCTTCCTATGTGGCAGGTATGACTCCAACCGATGGACAGTTTGTCCCAATTTCCCCTTGATTCCAGTTTTGCTAGGGTTCCTGATGCAACACTTGGTCCAATACAGCCTCGATGTCAAGGGCTGTCACTCTTGCATTGCCTTTGGTGGTCAGTTCTTTTGTCCATGTTTGAATTAAGGCTGTAATGAGATCAGGAGCTGAAGGCCCTGATGGAATCCAAACTGGGTATCACTGAGCAGGTTATTGCCGAGATGGTGCTGCTTGATAGCACTGTGGATGACACATTCCATCTCTTTACAGATGATCAAGAGTAGCCTGATGTGGAGCTAATTGGCTGGGTTGGAGTTGTCCTGCTTTTTGTGCACAGGACATACCTGGGTAATATTCACATTCCTGTTCCAAGGAAGGGTCACTGTACCTAAAACATTAACTCTAACTTTTTCTTCACAAATGCTGTCAGACCTGCTGAGCTTTTCCAGCAATCTCTGTTTTTATTCCTGATTTACAGCATCTGCAGTTCTTTTGGTTTTTAATTTTTCATGTTGTCGGGCAGGTGCCAGTATAGTAGCTGTCCTAGTAGAGCTTGGCAAGGGGAGCAGCAAGTTCTGGAGTACAAATCTTCAGTACCTTTGCCTGAATGTTGTCAGGGTCTGTAGCCTTTTCAGTAACCAGTGACTCCAACTATTTCTTGATATCACTTGGAGTGAATCGAATTGGCTGAAGACCGGTATCCGTAATGCTAGGGACCACTGGAGGAGGCTGAGGTGAATCATTCATTTGACACATCCAGCTAAAGATTGCTGTGAATGCTTTAGCCTTAACTTTTGCACTGATGTGTAGGGTCCCTCCATCACTGAGGATGGGTTTTGAACAAAAGAAAATTTCAGGTGACATTATATACTACACAGTACAGACAGTTATAAATGTCTGAGACTAAATAGGTACAAAATTATACTGCATGAATTAAACTTCAAATAATTCTATTAAGTTTATTGAAAGGACAAGAAACATGTATGCTCCAAGAGCCAAAAAGAAATGCATTTAATTCTGTAACTTGCAATAAGTCTTTTCATTGTCAGCAGTTCAGCTTACATTATTATTACTAACTCAGTGTTGATGTGCAATTCTCTCCAAATATAAATTAAATCTCTCTCCTACAAATATCCTTCCATTTAAGATTTCTAGTACCATGGACATCAACCCATTGATCTGGATGATCGCAGATTTCTTTTTTGGACTGTCGATCACCATCTCAGTCTTTCATACACGGTCTGCATTACTGGCTGAGCCACATGTGAATGTCAATTGTCATGCCAGTGCTTGATTTCCACTTCTGGAAACTGCTACTGTGCAGAGCCCGGAGATCCATGCAGGATGAACAGAAACCACAGGAAATGTTGTTGTGCCCCACACCCAATATCTCCGAACAGCTTAGGGTGACATGGCACCCAGGAACATTGGGAAAATGAATTTGCCGACAACTCCATCAGATAAAGAGCGCTTTCTGTATATGTCACCAAAGAATATCAATACATGAAATGGGGAATTAGGAATGACAGTGGACAGGATCTGTGCCCCTCCCAATTAAAAATTAAAATGGTGCAAAACTTCAAGGCTAGAGCAAATGAAAAAGAATTGAAGACAAAGAAAACATTACCAACCAGAAAATGTCTGTGCACACCAGAGGAAGTTAACAGAAAAATTCAACAGGCAATTTCAGGAATAAGATGTGATGGACCACATCATCACGTTTGTCTCAAATTCATTCATTTCACTAGATATTGGTGGGTTGGCTACCAAATTCCGCCAGGTATTTGGTTTACAAAGTAGCGAGGTTAGCATGGAGAGAATTACTGCATCATATGTTATGGAGGTGAAAGTTAAGTCCAAGAAGTGTAATTTTTGAGTACACAAACAGAAAAATACTTACTTCTATCAGCATTTGTTTATAAAATGAAAGTTTTTATTGACTTCACATGGTTCTGATGGACAGCATTCTCCCAAATGATGATGATACTCAAGTCTAAGTGTCTCACTTTCCTCACAGACAGTCATTTGATGGGCAGAGACCAGAAGTCTCAAACTGCAACTCAGACTTCAAGGAGCTAGCAATCACAAGTGTCAAAATGAGACTTGCTGAGTAGAGGACAAAGTGAAATTTTTATATATATTTGGTTTTAAGTTTATACAGCAGAAAGTAAACTGCTTATTCTATATTTTCTTAGGGTGGATCCTCCATTGCACTTAAACTCAAGTGATCTTGTGCTTGGTTGTTGATCACTTTTCAAAAACTTTCTCTCCCTCCTTCTTCTTGACTGCTTGTCTTCTACTTTCCTGTGTTAGGCTTTTTAAAAATAAACACACTCTTTCACACTATATACTCCTGTCTCCACATTCTTCTTGCTTCTTTTTGTGTTTCATACTCTACAGTTGTTGCAAGCAACCAACACAGCAGGTGAATAACTGGGAACCAATTCACCTTGACACACCCAGCATCTTAATGATTTGACTTATCCTGTCTGGAACTGCAAAAAACTTGAG